GCGTGGTGGACTTAACTCTGCCTTCTCTAGTCAGACTGGTGGATTTAACAGTGCCTTCTCTAGTGAGAGTTGTGGACTTAACTGTTACTTCTATAGTCAGAGTGGTGGGCGTAACTCTGCCTTCTCTTGGAAGCGTGGTGGACTTAACTGTGCCTTCTCTAGTCAGAGTGGTGAAATTAACTGTGCCTACTCTAGTCAGAGTCGACTTAAATTTACCATGTCTAATGAGAGTGATGGACTTAAGTGTGCCTTCTCTAGTGAGAGTGGTAGACCTAATTGTGCCTTCTCTAGCGAGAGCAGTGGACTTAACTGTGCATTCTCTAGTGAGAACTGTGCTTTCTCTTGTCAGAGTGGTGGACTTAATTGTGGCTTCTCTAGGAAGAGTGGTGTACATAACTGTGCCTTGTCTAGTGAAAGTGGAATTAACTTTACCTTCTCTTGCGAAAGTGGTGGACTTAACTGTGCCTTCTCTAGTGAGAGTGTTGGACTTAACAGTGCTTTACCTAGTCAGAGTGGTGGAATTAACAAACAGTTAAGTCCACCACGCTGACTAGAGAAGATAAAGTTAAGTCCACCATTTGACTAGGGAAGGACAGTTAAGTTCACCACTCTGACTAGAGAAGGCACTGTTAAATTCACCACTCTCACTAGAGAAGGCACTGTTAATTCCACCACTCTGACTAGATAAAGCACTGTTAAGTCCAACACTCTCACTAGAGAAGGCACAGTTAAGTCCACCACTTTCGCAAGAGAAGGTAAAGTTAATTCCACTTTCACTAGACAAGGCACGGCCTTCCCTAGTCAAAGTGGACTTAACTTTACCTTCTCTAGTCAGCGTGGTGGACTTAACTGTTCGTTCTCTAGTGAGAGTGGTGGAATTAACTGTGCCTTGTATAGTAAGGGTGGTGGACTTATCTGTGACTTCTCTAGTCAGAGTGATGGACTTAACTGTGCCTTCTATAGTGACAGTGGTGGACTTAACAGTGCCTTCTCTAGTGACAGTGGTGGACGTAACTGTGCCTTCTCCAGTAAAAGTGGTGGACTCAACTGTGCCTTCTCCAGGGAGAGTGGTGGGGTTAACTGTGCTTTCTCTAGTCAGAGTGGTGGACTTAACTGTGCCTTCTCTAGTGAGAGTGGTGGACTTAAATGTGCCTTGTCTAGTAAGGGTGGTGGACTTATCTGTGACTTATCTAGTCAGAGTGATGGACTTAACTGTGCTTTCTCTAGTCAGAGTGGTGGACTTAACTGTGCCTTCTTTAGTCAGAGTGGTGAACTTAACTGTGCATTCTCTGGTGAGAGTGGTGGACTTAACTGTGCCTTTTGTAGTGAGAGTAGTGAACTTAACTGTGCCTTCTCTAGTCAGAGTGGTGGACTTAACAGTGTCTTCTCTTGTCAGAGTGGTGGACTTAACAGTGCCTTCTTTAGTGAGA